ACTGACTGGTGTTGGGGGGGCATGTGCCCGCCCCCCTGACTCAAGAGGCGGCAGACACCCATGCATGCACTGCACATGGTGTGTGGGCCTAAACCCAGCACATGCACTGCATGTAGCAAATGGGGCCTGTCTGGCATACGTGCTGGATATGGTGCCTGCCCTTGACTGGCCCTACATGCTAGATCCAGGTCTGATCCAGACTAGAACCACAGATCTGCCCCATGTTCTGGAACCAGCATGCAGGGCTGGTCTGGACAGGCATGATATTCAGCATGTACTTCAGACTGGCCCTGTGTGCCAGATGTGGTTCACAGGACTGGAACCAGTGTGCACACTGAATGTAGCATGAAAGGCTGGTCCGGGGTACATGCTTCACATAGTACCCAGGGCCCATCTGTGATATGGCCTAAGGACCAGCCTCACACCCCTTATCCAGCCATAGGCAAGTGGTGTCTCCTGAGTCAGGGGGGCACTTGACCCCCAAGCGGCCAGTCAGCGTCCAGGGGAGAGGGGGTCCTCCCACAGCCGATCACACCAACTTGGAAGTGCCAGCAGCGCTTCTTAAAGTGGCTAAAGGATACAGAACAACATATAATTGAACCCTATGTGATCAAATTAAACCATAATGAGCAAGTTCTTTTGGGCCGTCAGCAATCAAAGAAATTCAAATACACTTAAGGGGTTTGAACTTATCTGTTAGTGTTCCAAAGTGCGCTCCTTTTGTATTGGCAAGCCATCAAGGTTGGAGGTGTTGGCTGGATTTACGGTGTATTAAAACTATGCAGGTGTACACCGACAGGCAAAGAAGAGATATTGTGACAACTGGCCAGAGTGGAGCTGAATTAGAAGCAGTGGTTTTGAACGGTATTAACATTAAGTTTTAGCTAATGAAGTAGGATATGCTACAGCTGAGATGCAAATAATTGGGAAACCCTTAATGAGTTCATTATCACATCTGAAAATTGGGGAACAGCTAGTGGGAGAAATCCTGCTGGTACTCCAAAAAATTGAAGAAGGCGACCACCAAATTATAGTTGCAGCAATTGACAAATTAATTCAGTACCATGTTTCTCTAGCCTTGGCCTGTACACAGGCTCAAGCTTTAAGCCAAACCATAGTCACTCAGATCATCTGCTCTGGCCTTCAGGGCCACTTGCCAATAAAGCTTAAAAAATGTTTGAAACAATGCCACTCAAGGAGAAAAAGACCTTTCCAGGTGGTGGAAATTAGTTTATTTTATCTATAGTGAATCAAACCAACAAATTGTGGCTCATATGGTTACTGTTAATGCCACTTCTCATATCACCATGTATCCACTGGTATCTGTGGGTCTTGGAGTGAGTAAAGGTGTTGTGATATACTCCCATGACCATCATCAGTGGGCATTTAAGCAGCAAAGAAAATGGAGGACCATTAATATCAAGGGATGTTTAATTCATGAAAATGTGGAATATGTGTATGAGGACCAGACTCTTCAGACACAAGATTAATGCCTGTATGAACAACGTGAAGTCCAGCACTGCACCTTTGATTTAGTGAATGAAAACCAATCTGTTGTAGCATATGCTGGAAAGGGATGTGTTTGTGTATGTACTCATTTCCCATATGTTTTGATTAACCAAGAAATTTTGTATTTGATAGTGTTTTCTGTCAATCAATGTTTTTGTAATGTTTCATCAGTTAGTGGTTGTGATTTTATGTATTTTGTGCCCCAGCGGACTGTTCAGTCTATCCAAGCTAAACCATGGCTATATCAGGATATAACCCCAGTGCAGATGGGATTGTGTTTGCCACTTTTGCAACAAGTTTTGTCTCACTCTGATCTATACACTGTACTCCAATCTGTTAAGAAATACAATCAAGAAACTGTGGTTCAAATCAAACAACGAAAAAAAAAGGACTGACAGTACTAAAAAAGGTCCAGAATGCTGGACAGCATTCTCGGTGGGAAACTTTGATTGGATGAAGTCCAGCTGCTTCAGGATTTTTTAATCAATGTTACATCCTATTGTTATTTTGCTTTTTGTGCAAATAATATTGCTTGTGTTCATGATTTTATTGTGTTGGAAAATGAAACGGCTGTATTTTAGACTAAAACACTATTGAGCTCAGCAGCTGCAAGGATTATATTATGACAAGCTCCTTCAGTAAGCAGAATGTCAGGCAAGCCTGGGGTAAAATGATCACTCGCTGCGTGAAAAGCTCGGCTGATGGTTGCAACCCATACAGGCCTTGAGCAGCAGGGGCACAGTTTCATTACCAGACTGACTTCCATGCAGTGATGGAATAGGTGAACTTAGCCATGAAGGAGGGGATTGTTAGGGTATCTTGTCATATTTTATGCTTTAAAGTTGCACCTGTTTATAGAGTGGTGAATAATAGCATTGTTTAAAGTTTTCTTTTATATTCAGCTTAAAGTTCTGTATAGCCTCACTGTTATCTGAACTTTTCATTTCGCTGGTGTTTGCAATATCAGCTGGCCTTGTTTCTTGCAAGCAGCTTATGGCCTTGAGTTTGCTCTCATGATGTTTCTGTCATTTTTCTATCACCATGAGAAGTTTTTCTAACATAATATAGTAATAGTTTTGTTACTAGCTCAGATGAACTGAACTTGGCACTAACCAGCTGAATCAGAGGGATGAAATGATTGTATATGTTAATGAACGGTGATAAAGGAGACCAATGGACAATGCTTAAAGTAAGACACTGAAAAAGGTCAAATTAAGAGGTGTGCTTGTAAAGGGGCTGTTGAACAAAGGAATATGCTGACAGGATAAAATATGAACAATATGCTGATTGCAGAGAGACCAATCCGAAAGCAAGAAGTCATCAAAGGAGTCAAGTTAAAGAAAAACATAAAAGGGGGAAGCAAGAAAGTTAAATGTGTTGTCACCATCATAATTTTCATCATGAATCCAGCTTTCAACACCTGTCTGGATCGTCCCAGCCAACAACACACCCTTTGCTTCAGGGACCGAGTGGCCATCTTTTCTGTGAAGCGAAGTAACATCTGGGATTGGGTGAGATCATTGTACTAAGTGTTTTTCTCTCTCTGAACATAGAAACTGCTCAGATAATACTTGTTGTACTAATAAAGTTAGACTTCGATTTTAAGACACTTGAGTTGTCTGTGTTCATATTTCACATTCCAGTTAAGGGTTAATTGTGATTTTACGATCCCTAAGCACTATCTGCTGGTCAGTGGTGTGAACACCCTTGTGGCCGATCATACTGACCAGTGGAGGGGCGATCACGCCAACCCGGAAGTGCCAGTGGCGCTTCTCCTGGCTCCCCCACTACCTGGCCCGTGCTCTCAGGGGGGACACTAGCACTTCCACCTGTCCCCCATGCCTATCGCCTAAGCGGGGAATGCTGGCTGTCAGGGGGTGCACCAACACTCTCGGGTGTGCACGCATCCCTGTGCGCCCCCTATGCATCACCACTGTATCCATCCCATGTGGCCAAATGAGTTTGACACCCCTGATTGAGACATTGCAAAATGGTACTCATTTGCAATCTGCTGTCTCTTATAGCAGCGGTCTTCAACCTCCAGCCCATGGGCCAAATGCAGCCTGTGGAGCCCTAGGTGTCCGGCTGCAGGGCTCCCCACAGATCAGGAAATTTGGCTGCAGAAGAGGGGTGGCAATAAATATGGCCACCCTCCTCTGCTGCCAAATGTCCAAACCCCTCCCACCATGCAGCAGGTTAGAGCTAGGTCATGCCCTCTCCCCCCATCTTCATGGGTGGCTGAGGCCAGGCCGCACCCCTTCCTCTAGGCTGGATGGGGCTGGGCCATGCCTCCTTTCCCCCATAGGGCTAGGCTGGGGCTAGCTCAAGCCCCCTTCACTCCTCCATGGAATTGGGTCAAGCTTCCATCCCCTGTGGGGCTGGGATGGGGCTGCACCATGCCCCCACCCTTCCCACCACCATTGCCACAGGGCCATGTTAGAATCGGGATGTCCCCTGTCCCCCTCTGCATGGCTGGATGTGGCCCTGTACCAAATCAGGATCATAATCTGGATGCAGCCCATGGATGGTTCAGCACTACCCAAAAAGGTTGAGAGCCACTGACTCACAGTGTTCCTGCTAGATTACATGGGAGAATGAACGGATGCAGTATGCCAGAATTGAGTTGTTTTGGCAGAGCTGTTTAGGGAGGACTTGAGAGCACCTGCTTAGCCTTTGAATCACTATAGTCCAGTGCTGCTCAAACTTTTTGCCTGGCAAGTCAGATGGGCAGTGCCCGATCCATCTACAGGCCAGATCCAGATGGTGGTCCAGTGCCTGAGGCAGGTGTGGCAGGCACCATCTGGCCATGTGGAGAGGGGGGGGGGTAGTCTGGCCCCAATCCAGCCACGTGGTAGAAGGAGGCTTGGCCCAGTCGCAACCTGGACTTTCAGGAAGGGGAAGGAGGCTAGACCTAGCCCCACAGGGGAAATGGGCATGGCCCAGTCCTGATCTAGCCAAGTGAGGGAAGGGGCTTAGCCTGGTCCCACAGTGAGGAAGGATGTATGGCCCAACCTCAGTCTAACTGTTCAGGGGAAAGGGGCATGGCCCAGCCCCGATCCAACTGTTCTGGGGAGCCGGGGGAGTGGCCTGGGCTAATTGGCCACTCAGTGGGGAAAGAGGCATAATTTATTACCAATCTGGCCATGTGGGGCTTAGGAATCTGGTAGAGGACAGAGGTGTCAATATTAATTGCCACTGCTCCCCCACCACCAAATTTCTCAACCTATAAAAAGTCCTATGGGCCAGATGCCATGGCTCTGTGGGCTGCATTTGGCCTGCAGGCTGGAGGTTGAGCACCCCTGCTCTAGTTAGTACCGTTATTCTTCCATGTTAATTTATACAAGAATTCAGTCACAATGGGCATGTCTACACATTCACTAATGTGCCATAATTACGGTGCATTAAGTTCAGTACCTGTAATTACAGGTACTACCTTAATGCACCATAACTGGCACTGCTATGCATTAGCACCGGCACACACTTTTTTTGTGACCCTAATGCTCAGTAGACTAATTCTACTGCACATCAGCACATTAGCATGGGTTTTTTTCCTGTCATGCTAATGCTCAGGAGAATGAGTCTGCTGTGCTTGAAGCATTTTGTGTAGACACGCCCAATGTGTCCTTGATTACAAAGTCTCTTGTGCAAAGGAAATAATTGGTTACTTTTGATACTTTAAGCAGATTTGCAATTTAGAAAATGATCCACCATTTACTTTTTTATTTTTGCATGCTGATTGTATTTAACCACGCCTGAATAGTTGTTCTATGGTAAGGAATAATTCAGAACAATAGACAAATTTTATTTAAAATTAAAATAGCTTAAATGACTCTTTGGATAAGAGCAAATTATTCACCTATCCTTTCTATAACGGCAGCATTTAATCAAGCATACACATTGCTAATGTCCACTCTTCAGACAAATGAACTGTGTAACAATTCAAGCAAACATGTTCCAACTGTTCACACAAAGCATTGCATAAGACGTGTATTGCGTTTCCACAAAGCTTTCCCCGCAATTTGCTGCTGAGCACTATGCACATCACTTAGTTTCCCCAATTAAAAATCACAAACAGAAAAAGCTTTCCAGCATTAACTGATCTGTGCTTTCTCAGAGATGTGGAAAGTCACATGCTTCAGGAACGGCCAGACACATCATTCTGGTACAATATAAAGGCAGTGTAAATCACTGTCTCATTTTTCATAACTCAGCTTCCATGGTTCTAATTTTGTCATTAGAAGCGAAAGGTTAAAGGAGCCGAACTTTTCTTTCAAGCATATTTTAACCAATAAAGATGGATCTCCTTCATAGCAATGGTGTGCTTATAATTCAGCATTTACAGAAGAATTACAGGGCTTACCAGGACTTTCTAAATTTCATGTCCCATGTTGGAGATCCTCGGAATATATTTTCAATTTACTTCCCACTTTGGTTCCAGCTTAACCAAGTGGTTGGTACTAAAATGATATGGGTGGCAGTCATTGGGGATTGGTTCAACCTTATATTTAAATGGTAAGAAATTGTGATTCTTTTAAAATGTTGTATCTCTTATGATGCAGGTTTCTAGATGTCTCAAGATTATACTCCCTCCTATTACATACAAATGTAAATATGTAGTTTTGCCATGTGTGTGTGTATATGTGTGTGTACATATATATATATATATATATATATATATATATATATGTATATGTACACACACACAAAGATTGAAAATTCATTTTAATGGGACTATATCATATTTACACAGCAATTTTGGTAACAAGAACATTGTATAATTTTTCTAGCAACATACATTTTGTATGTAGTATAAAGTGAATTACCATGCTTTGTTTGGTTCATCTTACATTAGGACATCTTTATTGTATTTATGTTTATACTATTGTCTCTTTCATCAGGATTTTATTTGGCCATCGTCCCTATTGGTGGGTCCAAGAAACAATGATCTATCCCAATCAATCCAGCCCATGTCTTGAACAGTTTCCAATAACATGTGAAACTGGTCCAGGTAAGGCCTGTAGGCAGTTTACATTTTTCTAATGTTGAAAATAATATCTCAGGAAGCAGAAGACGCAAAGATATTGATTATAATGTAAATTGATATAATTGATGGAAATCAAGTATCAGAATATGAGTGCCAGGGCTCAGTGTTGTAAGAGCCTCAAAACACATCAGTGTAAGCAATAAGAGGGCAACTCTGTATTAAGAGATGTGACAGGTAGTCTATGAAGATCTCAGAATATCTAGTTCATGGACTGGAAAGAAATGTTATTTCATTGTCTTTAACCTATAGAGAGGCATCACTTTAAAATGGCAGTTATTAGAAAGATCAATACTAGATGGCTATTTTTTGAAAAAATACATCACAGCTCCAGAGCTGTTGATCCATGTTTGCTGTGATGACTTCTCCGAGGTAATTCTTTTCCAAATAACGTCAGCTTGCAGTGAGGAGTTATACTAGCAGATTCATTGTGAATTAGCAGACTACCTGGATGCAGTTTTGTCAGCAAAATAAGTGGGCCAGAGAACTATATTGATATCTAGAGATCTCCATTGCAAGATCAATCTGGATTAGGATAGATGAATCCCAGAGAATTTGAGGTTTCTGAAATATTGCAATAATTTTCAGTGTTACAGGACTGGTACACATTTGTGATTTTTTCCCCCCTTGGAACTTAAAATCTTAGTCCATAATTTCCTTTACATCCCAAATGATTCCATTTGAAAAACAGCAACCTCCAATCTAACTATTGTGTTACCTGTTACTATATTACCTGCTACCTACCACTCTTCCTAAGAGCTGTAATCTGGCTCAAGAGAGTACCTTAGATATATTTTTCCCCACACAGGATTGTTCATTCAATACCTTCTCTGCTTCTTTTGTCATATTCTGTCTTAACTGGAATGCAAATCTAATACCGTCCAAATCTCAAATGGACTTCAAATCCATGAAGTTTGAAATTAGTTAGCCAAAATCACCACTGTCTTCTGAAGAGCAGATTTCACATGATTACACAGACATAATTCTGCCTCCTGAAATAATGGATTTTTCTACTATATGAGAAGCAGTAAATGTAATTAATGTGCTTTGTCCACTGTCAGTGGAGTGGCTTTAACATGGAATGCACTTTCATTTTTATTAGCAAGACATTACATCATAATTTACTGTAATTTTGAATAAGAGACTGGAGCGGTTCTGTCTGACTGGTAGTTTGCGCTATCTGCTGTATATGAGGCTGTGCTATCAGCTTTTAGGGTTCTTCTTTGATTCAATTACAAATTCACTTGGGACCAAATTTAAGGTGCTCTACTCCCCATCTCCTTGGCAATAATTTCAGAAGTGAGGGCACTTAGCACCTAATCAGTATTGCCAGATAGCAATCATTATGTTTCATTGCTATCTGATGTAACTGGGGGCTTCTTTCTTCCTGCATAAAAGGAGCCACTGCTGTTTTTACTCAGGATAGGCTTTTGTCAAATGTATTACATATATTTTTTTAAATCTGAAGCTTAAATTAAAAGACTAGAGCAGCAGGTATTATACACTAACATGAACATTACAGAGGGGAAAAAAACATAAAATTGTGTAAAGCCACTGTAGCCAGCTCCATACTATCCTTTCACAGCCCTGTTCCCCCAGGGGAAGTTAGGAGCAGAGAGGTGTGTCAAAGGTGTGAAAATGAGGGAGCAAGAGTGTATGGAGCTCACTGAACACCACCCAGTGGTTCGTCCCAGGGGGGACCATTTTCAGCTGATACACACTGCAGTGGCTGTTAGGTTCTAGGTTTGATCTTCTGTATTGTAGCAGGAATGATGTCCAATACAGGACCATGCAAGGAACTGAAGAGGCATAACTCTTGTTTGCAAATCTGATGCAGGAGAGAATCTAGCACCTGGTAAGATAGGGAAAATTGCCACAATAACTTTATGAATTACTTCCCTACCATTATTCCAGCGGGGTTTATTTTATTGAGAGTCCCTCCATATGTGCCTAAAATTCTGTTCTTCTCCATATTGCCTACATTTATTTGAGCATTGATTCTGTTAGATCTGAAATATTATAAGATTTAAAATATATATTGAGTCTCCACATATAGCTTCTCTATGAAAGTGGTAAGTCATTTCAAAGATATTAAAACATTATTTCATGGTAAGGGTTATATTGATTTTCCCCCCTAAGACAATCTGTATTTTTTTTATTTATTCATTCAACTTTTTGAGTATTGCATAAAGTAATCTCCTTTCCTCCAACATACAGGAAAATATTTCTTTTTTATGTCTATTAGAGTCTACCAACAACATACTTGTTATTTACATTGTAGTGCTACTATTGTTTATTTATTATAATATTAATATAAGTTGGAACTCTCTTACAATTGAGGCAATGGATAGAAAAGTAGTTTCAAAGGACTGACACCTGAAATTGCTCCAATGGATTATTTTTCCTTTAAAAATGACTAGTAGAAGCAGATAATTGCCCACTGCTTCCTAATTACAGTATGTATCTGTCTTGGATCCTTTAACTGTATTTCAGATACTTGGTGACTTAGATCATAATCATAATACAACGTGATTCTGTTTCTGTGAAGAAAATCTCAGACTGGTACAATATTTTAGGGAATGGCAGCCATCTCGACACCTATCTAATCCTTGTGTGTGAATCTTGCATCACATGCCAAAATGTACTTTAATCGGGGTTCTGGTACTATTAATACCATATCAAGTTAAAAAAGAGTTAATATTCTAGTACCATCATTTACTCTATTAGATGTGTTGCTGCTTCATATATATCTGTAAATCTAGTTAGAGATGTCTCTAACCACTTTATTAGACAGCATAACCTGAGGCATATGCAACATTTAACCCAGTCCTTGCAGCACCTTATTTTTTTTAGCACAAAAGTATGTACATGCTCAAATATGTCTATTTTTCATATATCCTTTAGGTTTTTAGAAAGGCAAAGGGAGTTTAAGGTGTTTACCTCTGATAATGTTATCATTCTACTAATCCGTAAATAACAGTGAAAACCTTCTGTTTCATAAGATTTCTTTTGTCCAAATCCAGTTCAGAAACAAAAATGAGAAATAAAAAATTAGATATTTTTAACATCATTTCCTCTCAACGTGGTAAGTCATGTTAATGTAAGGTTGGGAAATCATCTGCTACTCTCCTAATTCAAGCTCTGAATTGTCTATGAATGATTTTTCTGAACAGTTCATGTATGCAGGATGCCCAGACCTATCTTTTAAGAAGCCAAGAAGGTTTCAGTAGGATTTTTTACGTTTACTCTTTTTGAATTATTATTTGAAGAATTACCAAGGGTTATTTTTCTATATTCCAAATTTCTATTTATGACTTTTGAGTTAAAATATTCTTTTTTGTTTTTGATAGGAAGCCCCTCTGGCCATGCAATGGGATCTTCTTGTGTCTGGTATGTAATGGTGACAGCAGCCCTTAGTTACACAGTAGGACAGACAAGTAAATCAGCAGTTACCCTGTACAGGTCAGTGCTTTCTGCTATTCTAAAACCTATATTTGATAGATGGGGGTGGGGTTGATTAATGTTATTACAGGAAATATTTGTGATACCTCTTTTACCCAGTTAGCTTTGAGTTTTTAAAATGTCTTTATTCCGATTGGTTTCAGCGAAAAAATCAGAATGCAGAGAAGATTAATATTTTTCTTTAGGGTAACATCTTATTCTGTCACTGCCATTGCATTAAGATAGGTATATTATTTGCTCCTACTCAAGGATGTGGGAGCAGCATCAGTTTGATAATATTGGAAGTCCTGATTTACATTCACTTTCTCTTTTCTTTTGATCTATCAGTTTAATGCATTAAATATGTCCCTTTGGGAGCAGTCCCTCATGTCTGGTTATGAAGAAAATGCACATAATATTGCCACACTTCCCCACAATTGATATGTTGTGTTGTTATATGTGAAGGTTTAAGATTACCTCTGTCATTGTCCTCCTTACCAAAGTTAAAATGGTTGTTATCCTAGTGAGTGAACCTTTTGACTACATTAATGATTTTTTCAGGTTTAATAGGCCTTCATGATGACAAACATGGAAAATACGTGTCGTTTTAACTTTCCATTGATGTCTAACAGCTGAAATAAAGGGTCTAATCTTACATCTTAATATATTCAGGTCTGATTCTTCAGTCCTTAATCAAGCAAAATTCCTATTGAAGTAAATGGAATTGCCAGATCAAACACTTTTACTGTCAGCATCATTTCAGTGGTTCCAGTTTTTAATAATCTCTATAAATTTTTTGAACTTGTAACTGTGATTGCTAAAAATAAATGGTTAGGAAGGAAGAAATCTATGAAATATGTTTAGGATGTTTGTATTTCATACAAAAAATAAAAATCTTATGTAAGTTCTTTCTTCTCACAGAATGACCTGGTCATTCCTTTGGAGTGTTTTTTGGATTATTCAGATCAGTGTGTGTATCTCTAGAGTGTTCATAGCAACGCATTTCCCTCATCAAGTTATTTTCGGAGTAATGGCTGGTAATGTTGATTATATTTTTTTTCTACTCAATGTATACCAAATCTAAAAATGTGTTTTAAGGTTTCCAAAACCAAACACATTTAAATGGGATTTTAATAGTAATAACGAAACTGTGTCTGTAGAGCTACACACTTCTCTGGGACAAGTCACTTTGAAAACTTTAGCCCTGCCTAAATCACATTTTTTAAATTGGCTTAGGCACTATACATGTGGACTGTCTGTACATGTGCTTGGAGGTGGGAGATGGGGGGCATTTTAATTAAACCATTTCCCGATCGGCTGCTTTAATTAAAATGCCTCACTGTCACATGTATTAAGCCCCAACATGTTTAAAAATGGCTGCAGGATGCTTTATCTAAACCTCATTCAACAAGATTGAGTTAAAGCACCCTGTGATCATTTACAAATGTGTGGGGGCTTAGTGTGCTAATTACAACACCAACAAGCATGTTTATAGGCAGTCTTAGGAGCCTGAGTTGCACTGACTTGCTGTGAGCCCTAGGCTTCTACCATTTAGACACTTTCTCCGCAAGTGGGGTGGGGGCTGCTTTAATTAGAGGGGCTCTGAGAGCCACTCTAATTAAATGCCCAGAACATCTCATGTATCAGCATCTTCATGCTTCAAAATGGTGGCAGGGGCACCTTATCTACAGCTCATTGAATGTCACCCCCTGCCACCATATTGAAATGGGGATGCTGATATACAAGATGCAGGAGGCTGCTGGAGCACAGTAATTGCCACACTCCAACATGCTGGAATTACAGCACATCAGAGCAGCCTCCCTGCTCATGTATAGGCACCCCTAGATACCAATCTGAAAGGGGCATTTAAGACATTTTACAAATGTTCCTTTTAGGCTATATCTGATCTTGGAGAGAGTGAGTAGAGCTTTGAGCCCAAGTGCTGTTCCTTTCCCAAGCAATTTTTCTTGCAGAAATCAGCATAGATAGTATTGATTAAATAGTTTGTAGCCCATCTCTGTTCCTCTTCACAGCCAGGAATGGGTGAAAGGAAGGAGGAGTGAGAGCGGTGAGAAATATCTCACCCTCTTCCAAACTTAGAAAAGGAGAAGGAATGTTCTTGGCATATGGGAGATAGAATAAAGGCTTCATTGTAAGCATGTTGTGATCACAAGTACAAGAGAGAGAAGATAGGAGGTAGGGTAATTTGATTAAGCACTGACCATAGTGATAAAGTCCACCTGCTGGCTGACTGAAGATAAAATAAGGTTAAAGACAGAAAGGCAAAATCAATAGTGTGGCTGAGCAGGCTTGAATACATTGGGCCAAATGAAATAATAAATGCCAAAACAAATAGAGCAATGAGTTAATAATCTTTAAGACCTACAAATAATAGTACTTGGGTCACTGGAACTGATTCCCTATTGGTTTATGCTGATCACATTGCCCTAGAGTCACTTGAGTCATTTTTTGCCATTCAGGATCTCTGTAACTGGTTCCTCTATGAGAACAGGGTTTGGTCAGAAACATAGGGATGATAAATCATGTTTCTCTGTGGAACAAGATTTGGCAGGAGAAGCCACAAGAAATAAGGGAAGACAGGCTTGATTCCTTATAGGAGCAGGGAGTTGCAATCTGTGTCATGGAACAGCCTCTGAGGATAGGCTTTTCTAGGGAAGGACACCTCTAGTTGATATCTGTTATTCCACAGGATTTCTGCTAGGAGATACTTTGGGAGCTGTAATGAAAAAGGGCATTGACTATGTGTTGTAGCAAATTTTTACATCCTTTATAGGCAGACTTTTTATTGCAAATACAAAACCGGTATTCAGACATGAGAGGAAGAATGGCTTGTTTGGATGTGTTAATGAAGTTTAGTGTGTAGAAACTACAGACCTTTTTCTGAAAAATTGGTTCTTGACATTTACAGAAAGAAGTGGACCCATTATTTTGAACTGGTGGGTTTGGAGAGGAATAAGATTTTACAGTGTGGTTTGAAGTGGTAAAAAGTATATATAACACATGAATATAGATAGATATTATTACCACACATATGTGAAAATATGTAAAATATTTATCTTTATAAAGTGGTTGTAGTTTTAAAATTATATCCTAGAAGGTATAGCTTCTGGTATGTCCAAGACAGAGTATAGCTCCTAATACAGTACTGCATTTCTAATTCACAGGAATGTTGGTGGCAGAAGCATTTGAACATACCCCTGCTATTCAGACAGCAAGTTTGAGAACGTACATCAAGATAAATCTGTTTCTATTTATTTCTGCTCTTAGCTTTTATCTGATTCTCAAATTCATTGATATTGACCTTCTGTGGTCTGTTCCAAAGGCAAAGAAATGGTGCGCCAATCCAGACTGGATAAACATTGACACAACTCCATTTGCTGGACTCGTGAGAAATTTGGGTGCACTCTTTGGGCTAGGTCTTGGCATTAATTCTGAAATGTTCATCAGGAGCTGCAAAGGTAAAAATGGATATAAGATAAGTTTCAGAATATTGTGTATTGCTGCTTCTTTAGCTACACTGCAGCTGTATGATTTTATCAAGATACCCACACACACTGAGTATTTGTTTTATGCTCTATCTTTCTGTAAAAGTGCAGCCATTCCGCTAACTGTTGTTGCTTTGGTTCCATACTGCATACATTTGTTAATGAAGCCAACTGAAAAAAAGCTGAACTAAATGTACATTCTGAATGATCTGAAAATATAACGGTGCTTCTGGATACAAGCAGTGTTCTATGAGCCACTTCAAACATGATCATTTTACTACTTCATTATGAATGCTGGTGGATGCCAATACATATTTGATGTTTTCCTTCCATGTCCCACAGACAAAAGCAGCACAGCCAGGAATGACATTGTTATGTTAGGAACACTGATTAGCTATCACTAGAACCTCGTTCTTGGAATGTATTACAGTATGGTTTTACAGTATTATCATATGGTTTCCTGATATCACTGTGGGTATGTCACTGCTTGGATATGGGTTTGGTTTTGCCAAAGCTTTGTGGGTCTTTACTTATTCTTCTTCAACTAGATGGAGCTTCATTTTCTGAGTGTACATAGTGTCATTGCACTTCCCATTTTATGTATATGAATACTGTATGTTAATCTGCTAGAAAAAGATGTGTGATAAAATCACACTTAGCTGCACAAACACAACCATACACCAGGGTAAAGTTCTACGTACTCTGCCAATAACATTAAAAGGTTGTGTTTAGATTTTACTTACAGTGCTTCCTGTGTGAAGCATCTTATGCTTATTCTTTCCTGACTCAATTTATTATTTAAAAGATCAATCTGGAACAATTTAATTTAGACCTGCTGATTTTATTTCTAGGTTATCTCCAAGGCAGATACTATTTCATTTATGTAATTTTTTCATATGTTCTTTAAAAAAAATCTATTGCAAGATATTGAATGCTAAATTATTACATATTCAACTTTGTGGAAACTCCTGAATGTGGTATATTAAATCTGTGTTGTTGGCCTATATATCTACACAGAATTAAGCAGTAAAATTCAATTATTCTCAGTCACATCTTAAAGAATATTGTACATGTTCCTGTCTTTTAAATTTAAATAAGTCTAATAATCTCATTTTACAAACCAGAATTATCAGTGACACTAGTCAAGATAATTCTATGTTAGTGATGAAAAAGTAATAATTGTAATATGTTAAATGTAACATTCAAATATGAACTGTGCTGCTTAACCTGATGCTGCCAATTATATTCCCTTTCTATATTATAATGCATCTCATATTGCATATGGCTTTAAATAGTTCATAATCCATGTAATTCCTGTATCTGATGCCCTCTGTTTGCTGAACTGAGCAATATAATGTTGATGCCACCTTAATACTGACAACTTACATAGCTTTTCTGTAACTATGCCAGCCTTAAACTTTAAAACTTATAGGGCTTTGCAGGTGCTACCCAATCTATGATATTGTGGCAGTGAGGTTACCCAGGTACACCTGAAAGGATGGTCTGCAGACCTCCACTTATTTGTATGATGAATGAAACAGAAGATTCTGGCTTGCCTGAGGCAAAACAAAAGACAGCTTTGGGTTGGCCCTTGGCTGTTGAGAGTGATCAAAACTCAAAAGACTGGCAAAGATAAAACTGGTTTCCTTATTTTAAAATCAATCTGGATTAAAACCCCTTTGATGGAACACTTTCCTCTACACAGCTGCAGGAAACAGTGTGTTCAGAAAATCCATGTACTATGAAAGAATGAATAAAGACCGCAGTATCAGCTGTGTAAATAGTAACATCTAAGCAGAACATTCACCTTCTGCTCCTGGTAGTGAGGATACTCAGCAACTCACAGTGGGCTAGCCAAGGAACCATTGACCCTAAAAAGAGCTTTACTGTTTGCTGGTATGGTCATATGAAACACTGACCATTGGCCTCCTTGGTACAATGTTGGGTTGGCAATTTATGGCTTGCAAGCTGAATCTGACCCAGCCTATGACTGGAGAGGTCTGATCTGGCACAGAGAATTAGGATTTTGTGAAGTGGGCCCTATTTGATTCGGATTCGGCCCAAATCAGGGACTGTGATTCGATTTATTGATTTGGATCGCTGTCCCTGATTCGATTCAGTTGAATCCGAATCTAAAGATTCAATGTTGATTTGGAGAATCAGTGATTCAGACATAGACACAGCTTTAAAAAAATTTTCTACATACCTTGAGGTAGCAGGCGCGGCTCGTGATTGCTGCAATGCTGGGGCACATGGAGCATCCCATGGGAATGGCAGGGGGGGTCCTCCATGTGCTTGGCGGTGAACCCTGAAGTGGACTGGAAGTACTTCCAGTCTACTTCTGGGTCTGCCAAGGAGTGCACTGGGGGGTCCCCCTGAGCCTCCCAGGCTCAGCAATCAGCCACAGGAGGACCCTGGGTGCCCCTCTGACCCAGAAGGCACCAGTTGCCGAGCTGGGGGAGGTGCAGGGGGGCCCCCTGCGCACTCCCAGGTGGACCTGGAAATGGACTGGAAGTGCTTCTGGTCCACTTCCAGGTCTGTTGCTGAGCGTGCTGGGGAGTCCCCCTGCGCTTCTGTGGGACACTCCATCTGCCCCAGAATCACAGCACTCACGAGCCCCTGCTACCTAGAGGTATATAGAAAAAACATTTAACGCTGTGTCTATGTCCGAATCGCCAAATCTTCTGAATCTCTCAGATTCGATTTGGAGAGATTAAAGGGTCCTCTGATTCGATTTGGATTCAGAGATTTGGACACTGAATTGGGCCAAATCTCTGCCAGATTGAATCAGGGACTGAAGCTTCACACAGCCCTACAGAGAATCAGTGGTACAAGGCCTGGGTTTCCCTTGTTGCAGGGGTGTCAGATTAGTGCAAGTAGCTGGCTGCTGGGAGAGGCAGGTGGAGACTTCCAGCACACAGCCACAGCCAGGTTCCAAGCTCCAGTCCATACCAGCAAAAGGCTGCTGACCCCCAGTATAATGCACAAACTCTATGTATGCCTCTGGAATGTCATTCACAGAAAACTACGAATAGCAAAGTTAAGGAGAGGAGGAAGATCCACTAAATCCTGGAAGTTTGCACCTACTTCTCTAACTTCCCAGCAAAGTGCCCTACCCACGAGGCTGTGTGTATTAGACATCACCCATAAATCACCCTCTATCCCTCCTATTGAAGGTGGCTATTGGGCATCCAAGTATGAAGCAGACTTGAGTCCAAAAGGAATGTAAACCAGAGGGTTTGTAGCTCAGTGAGATGGCTGCTACTTTGAAAAGGACAGGGCCCTGAGGTCTAGCCTCATTAGTCACCAAAGACAGAAGCTATGCAACTGCTGCTTATCTATTTTATCCCACAATTATTGAATGCAAAACCACCCTTGGGGCAGGACTCAGGACTAGAGTCCAAGTCCCCTGCCTTGAGTGGGACAATGCCCATTTTAGTAAGCTCTATTCCTTCTGTTTTGCTCTCCTTCTGGCCTCATTGATCTTCCCCCTCTGATGTCCAATGGCCCTGTTTCAGCAAAAGGGAGGGAGGGAACTCTGTTAATACCTAGCCCATGGCCTAGCGGTTAGGGTAATTTGCTAGCCAGTGGAAGACAGCAGTCCAGGTACTCTCTAGAGGAGGAATGCGTGCAATTAGGACAAATAACCTAACCACTAGACTAAAATGTCCTACTGGTCTTTTGTGAGTTGCAAGCTTATTCATGTTCTCTAAAGGTAGGTACCTATGTACTATTTAGCTGCCTAAAGAGGAGTTGGATTTAAGCCAAAGTGTTGGAAGATGGTATTCAGGAATGTATATGACCAAGAAAACTTTCTGGTGTACTGCAAATACCTTCCTCTTTGTACGTATTTACATTAGCTCTTCACAATTACTAGCATGCAGAGTCTGTGTCCATGACAGAAGCCTATCATTCTCAGACATTTTTGCATTCAGAAACTAGGATGTGGGATCTGTCACAGTAAAGTGAGACTTATCTTTGAACCTAATGTGCTCTTAAGGAGATCCAGTACTACAATACATCAGCTACTAAGGAATTTATTTTTCTTTTATTGTCATAAATAGGTCTACAAGGTTGGTATTCTCTTACAGAATAGACTTAGTAATTACACAATTTCCACATTAATTAAAATACACTGCAATTATTTTTATGTGCATAAGTACCAAAGGACTTTAGTATCAGTAACATATAGGTTTGTGGTGTGTGATAAGCACAACAATTTTAAAAAAGAGAAGAAATACTACAAAGTAATTCCAGATACTTTAATCCTGCTTTTACTACACTGTGATGAGGCTTTTATAAATTATTTATAGCAAAATTATAGTTCTCTCATCTTTGTTCCCCCTTTTTGTTGATATCATGGTGCTAATAGGAAAGAGGAAAAAATGTGCAAAATAACGTCTCCTCTACTGAAGAAGGTACTGTTTTGATTTTTTTACCCCATACCCTTGCCACATCATAAAATGTTAAGAGCATGGTCTTGGCCCAGCATAACAGCTACTTCAATATTTTAATTCTCAGCCAGTCAAAGTCCAGTGTTGCTGATCCAACAAAAAAGTGATTTAAAAAAGGCATGTAAAGAAGCTTCCTTCTACAATTTCACAAGGACTTAAAAATGAAATGCTGATTGTAGCCAGCCTTTGTTTGGAAAAGGTTAATTTTCAAGGTCAGTTGTAAAACATCATATGGTCTTTGATTCTAATAAGGGTATTACACAAGAATTTACATTCTCTTTTCTTTGCCCATAATAATTAAATCTCAAGAGAGAGATTGTGAGAAGGTTTTTCATCCTTGACTCATTCAAGTTTCAGTAATTAATACTGATATATTATTTAGCTGTGAAATCCTTATCATAGTGCAAGGTGAACAGATGTCAGTGTACTCAGACTATGACTTGTTCCAATTAATAATATTCCAAGGCCATATCTTGTAATCAGGTTTTAAGTTAAAATCATATGAACACCAGAAATGTCATACTGCTTCAGGCCTGATTCCATTAAACAAAAAATCAATGGAAAAACTCCTTTTGACCTTAACAGAAGCTGGATCAAGCCCTATCTAACTTTATAAATAATATATTTTTTATTTTTAAGCTTTATAGAATTTAAACTTTCCTTATAAATCAGATTCAGACCCCAGGGATGAGCAAAGTAATATTCTCTATTTCCCTAGTACTCTTTCAAGGTAAGATAAAATTAAAATCACACTGAAAATTTATTTCAGTATTATTTGATTTAACTAATGCATTTATTCCTATTCAAATGAATTCATTTAGAGTATTTTACAAAGTGGCCCCACTAAGGAAAAATAGACTTTATTCCACCTTTTGTTCCTCTTCTCAGTTTTCTTTTACGATGGAGTGAAGCACATTTCTTTATAGTCATTTATTATTTCTATTACAGTAGCGCCTACTCCAGTTAAGTATATGCTCCAGACAAGATCAGGGCCTCGGTGTCCTAGGCACCAGGCATAGACATAGACAGTCCTTGTCCCAAAGAGTTCACAGTCTAAGTGGACAAGAGGAAAAGGTTAGAGGAGATGGTGTGCATTCATAATAGGGTATATACTTTGATTTTGGCTTTATGTGATGCGATTCAGAGTGGATTCTTCTTTGATTGCCATTTGTTAAGTAAGAAAAGCACTGCAGAGCTGTTTCCTTTTATGTACATACCTTATCCTTGGGCAACTCCCAACTAAAGAGCTTTTCTACTTACAATTTTCTTTTTCCACGCACAATAAACTAAACTGTTTCATGAACAAATCACCCTACTGGTTAGTTTACAGGTGGCCAGCCTGTTGCACATGTGAGTGTGGAACATAGAAAACTAGGCAGCAGACAGGCAGCACAGCAGTAGATAGAGTAGGAAGCAGTTGATTGAGTAAGGGATAGGATTAGAGTGGCACTCCAGGAGGATGTGGGGCTAGTCTGTGGCACACTTGCCTAAAAGGTTTGGCCCTACTGGTTAAGTTAATAGATTTGCTTGTTTCAGAAAGCCTTATGTATTTTTAGCTTGGGTACCATGTAACTCACCATATGGTACAGCACTTTGTAATAACTTAAACAGGTACCAAGAATTTCATACTAACTTCAGAGGACTCATTTGGAAAAAATATATCTTTTAACTTTACAGAGTGTTTTAAATCAGCTAATAGGTGCTCCAGTCGTGACAAGTTTGTAATAAGCTCCTTTCATGGCCATCAGTTCACTGTGAGTGCCCTTTTCAATAATGACTCCTTGAGACATGACAGCGATGATATCAGAATGCTGAATTGTAGACAGACGGTGTGCAATGACAATGCAGGTCCGCCCTTCTCGTGCTTTATCCAATGCAGCTTGCACAGTCTGCAGACAATAGACAACAAATCAATGTGCCAGCTAAAATGGCAGTTATGACATGAGGAATCCCTTATAAATCTATCCCCAATAATTAAACATTTCAGCATTTCTAATGCTACCATTACAAGTTTTACCTGAAGTAGAATCAAAGGCTAGAAGTTATTGGTGTGCTTTGCAACTGCATAAACTAAGCCTGATGCTAACATATAGCAAGGATTGATGAAATATAAAACTCAGATTGTACATTTACGTGCCAAACTGAATGTCATGGTGATTCTGGTGAGTTTTAAAATTCTCATTTTTCCTTTGACCTCAAGGTGCAAAACAAGCTAAGCCAGTTCTTTCTTCTCAGTGCTCTAGCATATCATTGATGTAAATGAAACTACTGCACATTCAGAGCATTTATTTTTAAAAGTGTCTTAATATGTAATTTTGTTTTGTGTGTAGTGGCTGGGACCACTGGGAGCTTTGGAAAGAGGATTAGTACAATGCTCAGAAAGGTGACACATCTACAGTGGAAGTCTAAGAGGGAAAAAACAGCTGTGTTTGCCTGGGTTTTGGAGGGGTTTTGTTTGTTTGTTTGTTTGTTTTTGATAATTTTTACTTAGTGTATCTGGATAAATACTGTTAAGACCAAATACACAACTAAAGATCTTGTTGGCATCTAAGTCAGATTCTATTCCACCTCTTGGGTGAGTAAAGGCACTTAGGTGAAAATCCATTAATGGATCTACTTTTTGCAAAATCTCAGCCATGAAATGATTACAAAACAGCAGTGAGGAGAAGATCTCACCCATCTTTTGTACCAACAGTTTTGCAAGGGGCACAGCAGGATAGAATAGGGTTGCACTTAGGTACCTAAATCCATTCAGACACCAACAGGTGGAATAGAATATATGCATCTTGATTTCTGAGCCTGCTTAGAAGCCCTCCACCAAGGCATCTACCTTTATCTACACTTTCTGAGCAAAACTACCCTGGGAAGAGACCACCTATGTTTTAGTCCAGTGACCTAAGGATTCAGGCAAGTGAAGGCCCAGGGAGTGGAAGACCCAGTTTACAGGCCCCATTCAGCCAAAGGGGTGTTGAACCTACATTTCATACATCTCAAAGTTCATTAACCACTAGACCATTGGTGAGGCAGAGCCAAGAACACCCTCCAGCCATTGGGTTGAAGCTGGGCTCCTGGGCAAACAAGAAGGAAATGATCATGAGACCAAAAGAGCAGTATTCAAGGGGAAATGTAACTCTATCCCATGAGGAGGATTCTGGCCCCCGGTCCCAGCCTGGGCTCCAATGCTGTTTGTGTCTCTTGCATTGGATAGTCATTGGATTAAATTAATGGCATTGGGAGCAGGAGCTAGAACCCAGGATTCCCTCACTCCTAGACCAGTGTCCTAGTACGCATTTCTTCTGTTCCATTTCTCATTGAGGAAATAGGAGAGAACTATGCATCTCCCTGGATAGATTAGGATCAGTGAAGGCTTTCCGAAGGAAACACAGAAGAGCTATATGTCAAAGCAGAGTGGATTTGGATTGGTCTCTGGGCTTGCTCTCAGCTGCTCAATGAGAGAATAAGAGAACTGTGCATCTCCCTGAGGTAGGACATATAATTCTTACATTACCTGTGAGAAAGATTTGTATTTGGGCTTAATGTTTTATGGCTGAATTAACTACAGTTGCAAATAATATGCATGATAACAAGGTATTACTTCATTGAAACCTTGGAAAAGTACTGCATAGTAGAAAAGGCTAAGTGAAATTATTTTTACTTTTCTTTTACATGAAGGCACGTGGATAATTGCTTTGGGTTATCTTAGTTTCTTTTTATTGTATATTTACCTTTTCACTTTCTGTGTCTAAGGCAGATGTTGCTTCATCTAGTAATAAAATTTTAGGATCACGTATGATAGCCCGTGCTATAGCAATGCGTTGCTTTTGCCCACGAGAGAGCTGAGATCCCTGAGCTCCCACATTAGTTTCATATTTCTGAAAAATATATAATACAAGTGAAATTTGTTTACAAACGAGCAGTTCCAGATACCCAAAACAAAAAACAAACTGGAAGAGTACTCGGCTATCCTGCAGTAATGGATCATAAATCCCAAGCAATCTTCTTCCCTCCTTAAGCTATCAAGTGATTCAAGGGCAACGTTTTACTGATGATACCAGGGTTTGAAAAGTGTTCTTTGCATCATATTTTGTCAGTCTACCTTCTACCTCATAGATACAGATGCCATGATAATGTACATGGGATAAAACTTGATCAAGAGGTATTGACTGATTTGTGCATAAGGCAAAGATGTCTTTTGGGAAAGTGATACACAAAGAGGTCAAGGCTAAAATTTTCAAATTGATATTCAGTCACTTTAAAAAAAATTCAGACGAGATTTAAGTGCACTCAAGTTCAATAGATATAAGCACTCAGGTTCAAATATTTTGGTCTAAATGTCTTGTTTGCATGGAAACAGATAATGTACAGCAGAGAACAGGGCCTTGGACATACGTTCATTTGTAGTGCTACAAAGTGCTAAGGTACTGAACTTTTCCAAACAGGAGATTTTACCACCTTCAATTCTCCTATGAAATATGAAGTTTCATTTCTACCCAGGAGAACTTTTACAATCTTTTCTCCAATGCCTGATGAAGGGTGTTTGTGCCCAAAAGCTTGCAATTAAAGAATTTTTTTGCAAAAATCTAGTTGGTCTAATAAAAATGTCACCTCTACCGTGAGTCCTGATTGCTTTTTTCCTTTAGACCAATATGGCTACAATCTGGATACTTGACATGAAAGATATTGAATTTTAGCCAATTTTTTAAAATGAAATCTTCATAATTTTACAAGGAGGAAGCAACTTTCACCACCTGAAACCTGAGATACTGCTCCTGCCTTTGTTTGAGGTAATTTGCATCATAACACAGCCTCACAACAGAGTTCAGAGACACCCCACCAGATAAGAAATACCTGCCCAGAGGAGCATCCCATCTATTTACTCTGTGAAATATGAAACACCATAACCAGAAGGAAACATGAATATATCCTGCTTACCAACAAACAATTTTGAGGTAAACAGACTATTCCAACTTTTCTCTGAGCCTAATCTGCATATAACATTAACTTTTCCAAACAGGAAATTTTACCACCTTCAACTCTCCAATGAAATATGAACTTTCATTTCTACCCAGGAGAACTTTTACAATCTTTGCTCCAATGCCTGATGAAGGGTGTTTCTGCCAGAAAGTTTGCAATTAAAGAATTAAAAGTGCCCACACATCATCAGGGCACTTTGAACTAAAGCTCATTGAATGAGTTTTAGTTCAAAGCACCCCACCGCCATTTTCTAGCATGGGTATGCTGATACATGTGATGCAGGAGGCTGCTGGAGTGTGGTAATTTCTGTGCTCCAGCGGACTTGATTAATCGAGTCTGCTCTGATGTGCTGGATTTCCAGCACTTTGGAGCTGGCTCCCTGTACATCTATAAAAGCCCTTAGAAAACAATGCTCTGCACTACATTAGTGTGCTCATTAATTTTGAAAATATGTTCCCAATAGGTAAAAAAGAAAAAACCCACCCAAGCTTCCTTAAAATTGTATCATGGCAAATACCACATTCTGTCTTCTCTTTTCACCATACTTAGAGAGCTGTAAAAGTAAAATACAATGCAGTAGCATGAATCATTTTAGTTTTGTTTGATGATGAACCCCATTAAAATGGGTACCTTCCCACTCTGCCCTGTTATCTGTTGTCTCACTAGAAAGGCCCTGTATGTGCTTACCGCAGGAAGTGACATAACAAAGTCATGAAGATGCGCCTTCTTTGCCGCTTCTGTAACTTTCTCCATAGTGATCTTCTTGGTATTATTGCCATATTTAATATTATCAGCAATACTGCAGTCAAACAACACAGGTTCCTGGGATACTATTCCAATTTTAGATCTAAGAAATTGTATATTTACTTTCTTGGTGTCATGTCCATCTATTAACTGGCAGTTAAAAAAATTGCAATACATTAATTTAGAACTAAAACCAACAAAGAATGTATAGCTTCTACTAATATAAAATTATCACACGTGCCCAGATCCTCAGAAGTCTTGTCTTCTTCAACAGCTGTCCCAGAGGCAGAGTGTGCCTTGAACACCCAGATCCTAAGGTACACTACAAGCTTATCCCCAAGACTCTCTCAAGCCTTCAATCTCTGGTGGACCTGAGAGCAGGCACTGGGAATGAGGCTGGAGCTGCCTCACTGGAGAATTTCCAGGTCTGAATGCAACAGTGAACTCAGGTAAGTAGGGCATGCTCAGCCCCATCCTTCCTGGTACCAGACACTACAGCAATACAGACAAGGCCAAAAGGACTTAGGGTCCAGTCCTAAGTTACCCCTAGGGTGCCTCCATTTAGGCACCTCAGTGCCTAAAATGTGTAATACAAATAGGTGCCTACATGTCCTATATTGTAAATGGGCATCCTAAATGCCACCTAAGAGTCATCCAGATCATCCAGTCACTCAGAAGGGAGGCACTTGTAGCTAGTTAATAACTACTGGGCTGTGTCTGAAGTCCTACTTCTCCACAGAACTTAGATCTCAGACTGAATGATGCAAGAGAGGCACTTCTATTAAGCTGAGATTCAGATTTTACAGATGGGAGGTGCCTGCTTGAAGGAGAATTGAGTTTAATATAAGCATAGCATACCCATCCACTTCACTCTTGAACATGCTGGTCTTTTACCTGGCACCTAAGTGGTAAGAACACTTGTCCAGGAAAATCGGAGACCTGAATTTTAGGTCCACCTCAATCAGAAAGGATTCAGATTCATATCTCCCACTTCCCAGGTGAGTGTTTTTATAGTGGCGTAAGCCGGCTTCTAAGGAGCAAAGAGTGAGGGCCAGTGAACATCCAGTGAGGCTGCTTGGGGCTTATCCTCAGTGTCTCAGGACCTTTTTCTCCTTGGCCGTCTCCAGAGATCTATGTAACTAGCCGTATTTTTGGAGAAAGAGGATGGGGTGATAAAAATAAAAAAAGGGAAGATACTGCTCTTTACAACACCCAACCAATCTGTGTGCCTGAATTTCTGTACCTTGATATATTAATTCCTCTGGATCCTCACTGAACAACAAACAGATCCAGCCTCAGTTCACCTAAATTAGATCACTTAAAAACGTTACACTGTAAATCTGAGGTAAGATATGGATGCTGTGAAAATCCATTGAGGTGATCATAGAATCATAGAATCATAGAAGTAGGGTCGGAAGGGACCTTGTAGATCTTCCAGTCCGACCCCCCGCCTGGGCGGGAGAAAAGACTGGACTCAAATGAGTCCAGCCAGGTAGTCATCAAGCCTCTTCTTAAAGATCCCCAGGGTAGGAACCAGCACCATTTCCCTAGGAAGTTGGTTCCAGCTCCTAGCCGCCCTAACTGTGAAGTAGTTCTTGCGGATGTCCAATCTACACCTACTCTCTAGTAATTTGTGTCCATTGTTCCTTGTTATGCCAGCGGGCGCTAGGGGAAACAGTGTCTCCCCTAAACCCTTCTGGTCCCCCCTAGTGAGTTTATAGACAGACACCAGGTCCCCCCTCAGCCTTCTCTTGTGAAGACTGAACAGGTTTAGGTCCCGCAGCCTTTCAATGTAGGGTCTGCCCTGTAGTCCCCAGATCATGCGGGTGGCCCTCCTCTGGACCCTTTCAGTGTTGTCCACATCCCTCCTGAAATGGGGCGCACAGAACTGGATGCAGTACTTCAGCTGTGGCCTGACCAGCATTGCGTAGAGGGGGAGGATCACCTCCCTGGCTCTACTTGAGACGCACCTGTGGATGCACGACACAAGTGATCCCCAAACATGTCTTAGTAACTCTTTATCAAATGGTTGATTTTGAAAATTTCTACAGTAAGCAAGCACTTTTGAGCTATACTGTCAAAGCACACTTACCACACTTCCCTTCTCAGGATCATAGAAACGCTCCAGAAGCTGGACACAGGTACTTTTGCCACATCCACTACTTCCAACCAATGCAAGCGTCTGGCCTGGTTTAACTGTCACCGAGAGGTCATTCAAAACTTGTGTATCAGGCCGAGAAGGATATGTGAATTTACAGTTGAGAAATGTAATGCTTCCCTTGAAATCATTCTGATGAAAAAGTGAAATAAGACAGATTGAGCTTCAAACTGAATTTTAAAGGATAAAATCACATTTGATAAGGAGTGATTCTCATTTCTGATAATAATATTATTGGTAATATTGCTGTCAATCAAGTCAGGGTCCTTATGAAACAATTCTGGAGACTGAGGACTTCAAAGATTGACTGGATTGACTGTACTGGAAAGTGGGGTTTTAGTTATAACCATGCACCTGTATTTGTTCTATCAGTAGCTTCCCCACTCAGTACTGACAAATTGCTACAATTTGAAAAGTGATTCCTTAGTGAGCTGTCATAGTAGTTAATCTCCTGTCTCCACTCAGCAGTTTTAATTTTCAAAATCGATGTCATGTAGTATCAATTTTGTTTATAGTTTATAATGCTTACAGAGAATAGCCATCTAATTTAGCAGAGGGCAATATATTTAACAAAAAGGCTTTTAGCAAACAAACAAAAAACTGCATTCAGTAACAACAATTTTTTTATGTTGGCTTAATTTTGTTAATTTATATGAAAAAACCCTAAATATTCCAGAAAAAAATGAAGAATTTCATTTTACCTTTTAGGATAAAAGCATTAAATATTTTAGTCTGAATGACTCTTTATTTCAGAATTTTCTTAATTTCTTAAGCAAAACGTTTAGTTCAGCTTGAAATGATTTTAACTTTTCCACTCACCAAAATTTGTTTTCAGTATGAAACAATATGATTTTCCTTCCAATTTGTTGAAATTGCCAACAAACCAAAGTCATACCTATTATTCATTTTATTTTAATGAAATTATAATTATATTTAGATGATACTAACTCTAACATATAAATTGTAGATGTGAAATATACTACCTTTGAGTCACACATTTCCTTATTTTCGAATCAATCATTTACCATTTATTGATATTGCTTCATAGGAGAAGGATTTATAATAGAATCTTATAATAGATGAGGAGTTTTGTATTACTATAGGAATTGTGCTTACAGTATAGCACAGAGCTCAGCGCTACCAGAAAGACAAGCAAACATAGCAAGTCTTCAAACATATTGGTCTAAAACAATGGTGCTCATGGTGTTTTTGGGTTTCAGTTTTTATTGTTGGACTGAATAACATTTCTCAGATTGCTCCTTTCAAATCTTACCCACTTTTCCCCTTTGTCACTGTAAACACTGATTAGAGGAACACGATCCACCAGTTGAAAAAACCGTGCAGCAGATATTTTTGCTTTAGCATAGTTTGGAGTATAGGAAGAAGCTCTTCCTAAAGCAGTTCCACTGGTTACAATAGAAGAGATCACCCTGCAGTGAAGGAGAAAAGTTTTGACCTTGTGGGCTGATATACTACTTGTGAATTTCTATGAAAACTGTACATTTCTGTAACAATAGTATATTGCTGTCTCTGAGTATATTCTTACCTGAAAACGTAGCTATAATGAAGCCCTTCACTCTCAACTAAAAACCCCCCATATCTGTATGAGACAGAATTGGCTATGAACACTATGCACTGGGAAAAGCCAAAGCAAATTCCGTAAACATTTGCCTTGTTGGTTGAAGCTCTATAGGGCTTTTCAAGCTGTTCTTCATATGCTTTAATAAACATTTTCTCTTTTCCTATTCCAGCTACAGTCCTGATGTTTGAGAGGGCTTCACTGGAAATCTGGAAAAGAAAAGGAGATATAAGTAAATCTCCTAACAATCCATCTGAAATGGCAGGAAAACCTTTCTGACTGACTGCTAGAATGAGAGGGCAGCATGATTATTTGGGTCAACTGTAGACACTAATAATATACAAAATGGATTCAGATCCAATAATCATTGACACAAGCCTTAGCCCATAATATAAGAATCTTTTCTGAAGAAAACCTCAACATGGCTGCTGTCTCTGCTCTACTTGGACTAGACTGCTGCAAATATCCACAATGAGGAGAGCCTTCTGTGGTCCCTCTCACCTGAATTTCACACTATATGAGTAACTGGTACCATTATTCCTTGATAAGAGCATGTGTTATGCTCACCCTGGCAGAAGTTCAGCTGTTCTCACCATGCATTCCTTAAATTTCTATGCTGACTATGTTCATTGTATTGTACCATGAGATTTGTATCCTTCTCAACATAGGATGTATGGAACTGTGAAATATATACCTAAATGAATCTGAACAGGGGCTTCTTAAAGACATTTTTTGTCATCAATGTCCAGCTAACCAGAGAAACTCATAAATATTTTAAATCTTCTTTAGGAATGTTGGTATCAATCAAATGTGAAAAAAGTTTCTTGACTGCCTATTTATTTTTAAACATTCTTATTTTAATTATTACACAAATGATCTTGGGGAAGTGTAGTATGTTAATTTATAGTTCTGTATCTTTAAAGTCTATACCTTTTCCAAAATATAAAAGCTGAATTTACTACTAAATTTTAATGTACTAGCAAATCACCTATTCAATGACTTACTATAAAGGCTCAGTATGTGCATTTTCTCTTATATACTGTCCTTTCTATGATCTGTTCTTATTACATTTTGGTTTATGACCTGTAGATGTCCCACACACAGTATATCACAGATAACCTGCATAAGAATGTGTGAAAACTATTTGGGTCAATAGCCCATGATTTTTCCCAGACAAGTAAGTAACATTAGCCCAGGCAATTGGCATGCATTTTGAAGAACAGTGCCAGCAAACTGAAGTATTCAAACTATATTTTCCTATATTTAAAATGACAGATAAAGAATCATGATGGAATCCTCTTAAAGAAAACCTGTTGTATCAGATGGTATGCTTGTGAATAAATTAGAAAATACCACTGATCAGAGTCACACATTGCAAAAACTGCTGAAGTATTCAGTGATATTTTTTCCCCTGGCCTCTGGGTCATTCCACTGAGTGGAAACTGTTGGCCTGGCCATTTATCAGATTTTTGTGGTGAAATTTGTTTTTCAATTCCAAGAAGATACTTTGATCTATAACTTGCTATAAATAATTTAGCCATTCTGGCTGAATGATTAGCTGTGAGTGCCATTCTTTTTTTCACTTTCAGGAGTTGAAACCCATCTTTGTTTAATTAGTGACATCATTAGTCCTGAGGTATTAATTCAAGTAATATGATTTTTTGTAGATTTAGTATATTAATATGTCTGGATAATTTAAATTAGTTCTCATTAATTTTTACAGTGTATTTAAACTATATATCCCTCTATGATAGATGGTGGACTCTGTTAATATTTCAGTGTACAAGTCAGTATTTTCTATAATCTAATCCTCCCTTTTCCCAGACAGAAATAATGATGGCTTTCATTATATGTTATCCTTCAAGTTTTCAGTAGCCCACACAGCCAACAGCACCAATCTGCCTACTGTTGCTCCAGCAAAAACTTTAAGAATTAATAGAATATCACATGTCAGCACAACAGGACCATTCAGTCATTTAAAATTATTCTTAATATAAGGTCAAGGCCAACAGAATATATCTGTTCTATGCAACAAGGCATATATGAGTTCCCACATGAGCCAATACCCAAGCTAAAAAGGAAGAAAGCCCCTAGAAAACTCATGGTAGGACTCTGAGTAATTGCCCAGGGAACAACAGAGAGAAGAAAGCATGCAATAGAACTCAGTCCTCTTTGGTTTGTTATTGCTTGCATAGCTATAAGGACAGGGGGAAAGAGCAAACTAATCTCTGGTTTATACATCTGGCCATGACATGTGTGTAAAATCCTTCCTGGAGCTAGAATGGATTGGGAGTTTTGTCCTCCTTACTACTGAAAATTGCCCAACAGGATCTTCCTCCAGGACTATTCCACAGGATACATCCTGAATTATCTCAGCTTCTGGGAAAAGAGAGTGTCCTTTCCCAATGTACCATTGTTTTAAAAATTAGTGCTTTTTCTGTATTTCCGAATGGGAGTTGTCAGGTCAAAACAACATTAATATCTTTGAGCCACAGCATTGTTAAAATTCTTCTTTAAGGGATATATATATATACCATTCATTCTGCATTCCAGAGGGATGGATTTGATCAATTGAATTTTGTCTTCATCTTTTAAACTTCTCTGAATGGTTTAGGTCATATTCATTCTCAGACTCTTCACCCAGGGCTAGATTCACATAGGGGACGTAGGCAATTGAACACAGAGCATTGCAACTTAAGATACCTACTTACTAATCCTAGCTAGGTACCTAGATTCCCTATAGTAGAGTTCAGCACTTAAGACCAGGTTCCACAAAAGGCCAGCATGCTGCCTAATCTATACAGTAAGAAATACTAACGGGGCGTTTCTTAAATCTGACCCACTTAGGTGCCTTTACCCCTAGGGAGAATCTTCCCTCCACTCAGGATTCACAGCCCTGAACATTTTCTTGTATCTAAGCACTTGCTTACAGAAAACAAAGCAGGGATAGTCACTTCATTCAAAGGGTGGCTGTGGTAGATGTTGTAGTGACAACTCCTAGTTGCTGAAACATTCACAGAGGACATGGAAGATATAGTTTTATTTCCCCCTTCTGCCAGTTAGGATTTGAACCCACATCTCCCAGGACAGCAATAACTGTAGGAGACAGCCATAAAATATTCTGGAATGGGGCATGTTCAAGTCTTCCTGCTGAAGCTGTCCCTATTTGCATGGAATAACAACACAGTCCAAACAGACTAAAGTTAGAGAGTGTGTGAGCAAGAGTGCACATGATTTGATAACTTGTGTGGCATATGATCCCCTGTTTTAGCATTTAAAAAAAAATATTACCTGCCCAGTAGCTTCCAGAGCTTGCTTGTCTTGAGAAGCAAATCCTGTCAGCATTTTAGCCTGGACAGCCCCAGATAAGGCTAAAAAGGGCAGGAAGCAAAGTATAACAAGACTTAGTTTCCAGCTGAAATAGAAAGCGATGACAATGGCCACTCCAATGTTGGCAAGGGAGTTGACAATCATTCCTATCTGAGATCCAGTAGCCTAGGAAAAAAGGATGGAGGGAGGAAGCTTAATCAATTATTCTCCTGATAATACCAGTCAAAGACAAACATAAAGAGGAGTACTTTGGCCCAAATATTCTCTTTTCTCATGGATCATGGATTAAAGAAAAATATTCCTGACACTAATTGATGTAAAGATAACTTAATCAGGGATGAGTTTTACTATATAAATGACTCACTTGAATACACAGAAAGTTGTTTACCTGCATCTGAATGCTGCATGTGGCCTAAACATTCACTTGTTTAGGTTTAAATAGTACAGAGAAGCCTATATGAAGGTCTATGACCTAAGACAATGTAACGATCGCAGAATCAGGAACACTCTCTGGAAATACTTGACAAAGATTCAGAAAGGAACACATTATAGGTGCTTTACTTCTTATTTCTCCTTACCAGGTACATTTTAAAAGCTCCTTTATTATAATTTTTACTGCTGGTGAGTATCTGTTTGCCTTGTGTGCCTACAGGAGATTTTTCTTTTTGACAGCTTTAGTGTATTTACTCAAGTGTGCACCTGTTTCAGGTCAACATGCATTTAACTTCACTAAGAGGTAACTTAAATGCGGTGTATTGCAAAACAAGAGTTTGCTGTCTTCAGTCATTTGATTTCAGATTCATCACTACACCATGAAGTGCCAGCATCCAAATTTCCTCTCCATGTCCTCTCTGTACTGGAGCTATGAGAAGCGGAGCACCTCAGAGAGTGGCAGTTCTAGAAGTCTCCATCTGTCCTCTGGACCATATAATGGTATGTAGTTCCTAGTCCCTAGTGAGGACGGCATTAATGGGATGGCCCACAAAATCCCACTGAAAGGCTCCATCACATCAGAGGTGGCTCTGGACTGGACTGGAACACTGAATCCAAACCCCATAAAACTGTAGGGAAACTTGGATGTGGAACTACAGGCATACCTGCATGAACTTAAGGTGTTTCCCCCCATTTCTTTCTGATGTAGAGTGCATTAGATATGGCATTCCCATTTATTCATTTTTTGTATTTATATATGTCCTTAAATTGACAGCTGTGGAGAGCCAAGTGTATTTCATTTCTGTTGGAAAACTATTGCAAAGCAGGGAAATATTTTTGAGGGCTATCAAAAGATGCAAAGACAGTGTAGGCACATAGTAAACAACATTAGGCTTATGTTTTTTGAACGGGTAACGTGGAAAACCTATGGCCTGGCAAAGCAGAAGTTAAAAATCTTTCTGGTGTTCAGTGAATTCAGAAACTACAATTTTTGAGCTTTGTGGTTGAAAAAAATTCTTGGTTTTCTTCCTTTCCTGGCTCTGGCTTTCTGTGAAGATTACAATAGGCACATCTACACAAGACACTGACTGCGCAACAGCTGAATAATACTGCACAGTAGTGTATTATAACTGTTGGTGCTGTGACGCGCACTCACTCAGTATTATTCAGTTACTGCCCAGTAGCATCATTTAAAAGGTGTTTGCTGGCGCTACTACACAGTAACTCCGGTTACTGTGCATTTATGTAGTACTTGATTATACAAGTACTAAATAAATGTGCAGTAACCACTGCACAGTAGTATCTCATGTAGACATGTCCAGTGACAACAATCTCAACATGGTCTATAACAGTGATTCTCAACCTTTTTCAATTAGAGGCAACCTTCATTATATTTGAGGCACCCCTTGGAAATGTTTTCACTAATTTTTTGACTATGGAAAATTAGTAGAGCAGTTTTCCTGTTGCAAAGAACTCAGACCACAACAGGGCAGAATGTTTTTTAAACTATGGGCTCTTTTTGGAAGTCTCTGGGTTTATGTTGCCTAACAGTACTAAAATTGTGTGGCGCACTGGGGCACCCTTGAAAGGATCTCAAGGCACCCCAGAGTGCCACAACACCCTAATTGAAATCACTGATCTAAAACAAAGTCTCCCTTAATAAAGGTTCTGTAAGGCAGTTAGTGTTTAAAAAAATCATAAACAAATTAAAATGGAACCTGTAAGTGTTTGCATGTAAGAAGTGGTTTACTGATGTTTTCTCAGATTCTGTAGGGCGTTTTTACATGTGCTCTGGTGGGGGGAACACTTTAATTAAAGTGGCTCTAAGAGCCGCTGTACTTAAAAGTGCCCACAATGTCTTGTGTATCAGCGTCCCCGCACTTCAAAATGGTGGTGGGGGCATTTTAAAGCTCAGTGAACGAGCTTTAATTAAAATGCCACCACCACCATTTTGAAGTGTGGTGATGCTGATACATTAGAGACAGAGGCTGCCAGGAGGGTGCTAATTAGTAGGGGTGTGCGAAGTGGGCTCTATTCGATTCAGATTTGGCCTGAATCAGGGACAGTGATTCGATTAATTGATTCAGATCACTATTCTGATTCAATTTGGCCAAATCCAAATCTGAAGATTCAGTGCTGATTCAGAGAAACAGCGATTTGAATGTAGACTCAGCTTTAAATATTTTTTCTACATACCTCGATGTACCAGCACAGCTTGTGATCATTGCAATGCTGGGGCGGATGGAGTGTCCCACAGGAGTGCGCGGGGGGGCGGGGCTCCACATACTTGGTGGTGAACCTGGAAGTGGACCAGAAATACTTTTGGTCCACTTCCGGGTCCACTGGGGAGCATGCAGGGGGCCCCACCGTGCCCCCCGGCTCAGCAATCGGCTGCAGGGGTTCCCTGGGAGCCCCGCCCCAGACCCAGGAGGCACCAGTTGCTAAGCCAGGGGGCG